GTGGTAAGTAGTAAGTCTGTGTTCTTTTGCCAGTATACTTTTCTTTTTTAAGCTGCTCCTACTGTTAAGAGCAGGTGGTTTAGTTTTAGTAGCACATGCATGAAACTGAGGGCACATGTTTAATTTTTTGCTTTTCATATCATCCTAAGACGTTTTTCTTGTGCTTCCAATGCATTTCTTACCATATGTGGTCAGTCAGTAAATAGCATCCTTCTGTAGCTTAAGTGCTGTTTGTTTAAAGCAAATGCTGTTCAGTGCCTGAAAAATGCTAATTATCACCATTCATTAGACTGCACAGCATTTCCCTGAAGTAGATTCACTTCTTGACAGTTTATTGCACGGAGTTTTATTTCTATTGATTCGAGGCACAGGAATTTGGTGGAATTTGTCACTCCGAATTGAACTTGTAGAGTGGGTGCTGTTTGTCACAGGGGCATCAATATCATCTTGAGGGAAGCTCCTCCTGAAAAAACAATGTTCATTTTTTGTTTTGCATTTATCTGTGGGTGGCATCCCAGCCCATGGCAGGGGGATGGAACAAGATGATCTTTAAGGTCCCTTCCAACCCAAACCATTCTGTGATTCTATGAAATATAATCCATGAGACTACAGGAGCAGTGTTTAAGGGAAGATTATGGCAGCAATTTACTCCAAAAACTTGCTTCATATTTATTAAATATGTGAATAAAGTTAAGAGCTAATTTAAAAGCTTCAAGCTTTAGAAATGTTCGATGTAATTGTTGCTTAACGGCATGAAAAGACTACACAATAAACCTGCAAATGTGAATGCCCATCTCTATCTACTGATCCACATGAAAAAAAATATTATTTGTCCATTTCTTCTTGTTCTGCATCACAGCATCCTAATTGCCTGACAGTTAGGTGATACTGATATTTGCATCCTTAGAAACTGTGTTGGAAAAGGACTGAGCTGGGAGTCCAGTGGAGGAACAGGCTGAACCTGAGCAGTGAAAGGAGAAGGGCTCATTAGCTCCCTTCCACATCCCTTCCCAGTTTAGAAAGCTCTGTCCCCTTCCAGCCTCTTTCCTGAACTGCCCCCACCCTCCACTCCAAATTACTCCTTCCTTCTCCCCCCCCTTACAGAACCTGCTGTGTTGCTGCCACCAAATTCAGTTTTGCCCTGATGCCGAAAGGACCCGTGCAGGCTTTGGGGAGAACTTTTTTCCTGCATCCATGAAGTTAAGTGCTCCTCAAGAGCATCTGCATTTCAGAAATGCAGCTGTGTCACTGGTACCTCTTGGTCTTGGCTGCAGCACAAGGGTACGTGGGCCATAGCACTGTAAAAGGTTTGTGGCATTCCTTGGAATCACGGGGTGGGAGGGAGAAGGAGAGGAGCTGTGATAGCAAAACCAATAAATGAGACTGTCAGGTGGAGAAATACTTCAAGGCCTGAAAATTTCTACAATACACTGTAGTTTCCTTCAGAACTGACACTTCTGGATTTTCATTACTGGCCCAGAAGTGTTTAGTCTTGATGAGGATGAAGACAAACCACAGCAAGAAAAATCCTGAGTGGATGGTGGGAGTCACAGGCTGTGAAAACTCCATCCTTGGAGATGTTCTCAGCTCAGCTGGATGCAGGACCCAGCACAACAGGGCCTAAATTTGGCATTGGACCTGAATTTGAACTTGGCCCTGCTTTGAGCAGGGCGTTAGACCAGATGATATCAAGAGGTGCCTTCCAGGAGAAAGGGTTTAAGAAGGCTAAGATTGTTTAGAGGAAAAATAAAGGGTTCATACATATAAATATATATATATATATACACTTCTTATATCTCATCATACACTTGTACTCAGGTCAAAATCCCTGTGTAAGCCAGAGCTCTCCATGGCAGGTTTTAAATTGACAGCTGTAGTGGGTGGATTTGGGGAAGAGGCTTTACATTCCAAATAACAAATAGAACCGATTTCTGCCTTAAATACAGCACCAGTATGACTTCACAGAGCAGCTTTAGACGCTAGTCTGATGTAGAATAACCCAACCATCTACACACACACACAATTTTTAAGGCAACAGCTGATTTTCCTTCCTCCTCTCCTGCTTTAAGCTGCACTACAACTGCAAGCTGTATAGGATAGAATTGTTCTGGAGGCATTAGTAGCAAAATCAAGCCGTCCATGAGATATGTGGGCAAGTAAATGCCAGAGGTAGTTAAGCTTAAAAATAAAGCAAACTGAAGAAACACCTTTGTTATACAGGCTTAGAAGAAAGTGCATAAAAGAAAGTAATACTTAAAAACCAGAGTTGGGCAGAAGAAAAGAAGCTGAGGAGCTGGTATATATATCAGCACTGCCATTCAGGTCTGCAGCTAAGTAAGTAACTGTGTACCTCATCTCACCCTCTCAGCTGCACCTCACTGCTCTAATCAATGCTTTTAAAAAGATTTTACAGAAATTACTGTTGTCCATTTAATCCAGGTGACCATCCAATAATTTAACAAAGAAAGGTTTTGAACTACAACTGAGTGGTGGGACTGAGATGTTGCCGTGAGCACTGCAGGGATTGCTTCCATCAGTCCTGTTGCCTCACAATGAAAGGCTTGGGAAACAAATATTTCTATTCCTTTCCAAACAGAATGACCAATAGATTGTTTTCCTGCTTGGAGCTTCTAAATCTCTCTTTGTATGTGTGGACTTTTTCTGTCTGAGGAGCTTTGTCTGGTTTCCTTTCAGGGTCACACATCACCACTGCTTTCAAAGCCTCTCTTCACATACACAAAGCTCATGCTCCTACCACGTCCCCTCTGCTTTCTGCAGCATCACACGGTGTGAGTCTTCTGTTTTTGGTGGCAACTTGTGTTGTTTCTAGCTGATATAATTTATAAAGAAGGTGTGGAATTGCTCCTTCTCTTCCCCTTGAAGGGTGCTCAGTCCTTCTGCTGCACGTAACCAGCTATGAACTTCTGCACCATGTACAACACTGCCTTGGTGACAGCCATTAAATTCTTCCAGTAGAGCTTTTCTCTTTCTCACTTCCTTTTCTTTACACACAACTTAAAAAAATCCTGAAGAACATTCGTTTAAAACTGTTCCAGAGTCTCAAATGTGTCTCTAAACACAAATCTAAACTTTTCCCAGAGAGCTTTTAACGTGCCGCCGCTGGTACAACATTCCGGTGTTGCCACATCCTGTAAAATTCCATCTGGAATCGCACGGTTTCGTCAGGACTGGCTGATTTCTGCTTTAATTTTCACTTGCCTCCAAATCTACGTAAACCAGTGCAAGTTAGTGCCGTCAGCCTGGTGCAGTTTGCAGTGAGTAGCTGAAGTGCTGAAGCCGCTGGCAGCTTGCAGCATGACTGGCTTTTTGAGAGTGAAGGAAGCCTGCTTGTATTCCCACAAAGAAATCCAACTTCCCTACTTTTGAAGCACTCAGTCCCTTTAATTACAATTTCTGCAAAGGAAGTGTTTTACCTGTGTCTAGAACCAACCAGCAGAGGTTGCCATTGATTTTTCCTGTTACCTGCTCAGCAGAGCCTGGATTTCTTGTACCAGACCTGAAATATTTGGCTGCCCCGAGGGCTTGTTGTCAGAGTTGGGCACTCTGGGGATACACAGCGGGCACCAGCTGGGGCTGACCTGGGAACAAGGTGACTCAGTGGTCACTGTGACATCTGGGAGCTTTAGTAGTTCCCAATCCTCAAATCTGTATGGAGCAGGATGCACTGAGCATCCTGTGGTCCACTTTATGTCACGCTTTACCTTTGCTTAGCTGATGTGCCCTTGTGCCTTTGGGGCTTTCTAATGTCCATTGTAAGGTGTTCTGGCCCTTTATGTCCCTGGTGCCAACGACCCGGCCCAGGGAGGGGGTGGAGAAGTCCGGGTTCCTGCCGTGCCTGTGCTCACCGTTGTTTGTTCTCCTCCTCCCCCACAGGAGTGGGAAGCGGAGGAATAAGAATTGCTCCTTGTTATTCTGCCGGTGGTATGGATAGCTCGGGCTTAACGCTGTGCTCAGGGGCTAAATTTAGTCATTAAGTCTATTGTTTCAGCCATTTGCCATTCTGAGGTATCGGAGCAAGTTTAATTTTTATTAAATCCTCTGATGGAAGACTTTGGAATGATCACACGCCCTTACTGCAAACCACTCTTACATTGCTGCAGTTTGTGCTGCCTCACATTGCTACAGACTTGTCATTCAGCCTTGAATATTCGCTCCAGGCAGTACTCGAAATACAAGATGTAAACCCAGGAGAAGCTTATTAAAATTTTGCCTGTGGTTTGCCTGGGAACTGAAAGGATTTAAATCATTGTAGTTTCTAATGACTTAGTTGGTTAAAGCCTCCAGTACCATCCCTGACACATCTTTTGCTGATCGATAGCCCAAAATGCTGTTCTGTGGTTGGTATTTTGGTACCTAAATCTGGTGTTTCAGTGTCTAAGGACGCACGGCGTGGCTGTGTGAGGTAACTTTGATGGTTGTACTTCTGCGACTGGGTTTATTTTTGGAAAGCACGAAGTAAACAAAAGTTCTGAGTCCTTAATCAGGGACTAGCAGCATCCGTTTGCAGGAGTAGAGAGCTCAGTTAATTGGGTTAAGTTTGGAAAGTAATGTGCTACTCACAAGTATTTGTATTTAAACTGATGCCGAACCAATTAGAGATTGGTACAGTATTGAAACCAGGAGCAGATGAGTTTTATAATCTATATATCGAGGATGGAAGTAATTAATTAGGGGAAGTAATTAAAAAAGGGGGAGGGGCTGTAATTGTCTTTTAAGCAAGACTAGAAAATTTGTGTCAAACCAGGGCAGGTATTTTTAACACCTTCGCCGAGGTATTAAACCTCCGCAGGTGCCGCCTAAAAGGCGCACCCCTCGGCTGCCGGAGCGGAGCCCCTCGGCTGCCCCGGCTCGGTGCGGCGGGCTCCGCTCCGCTCCCTCCTCCCCGCCGCCCTTCCCGGTGCCAGCGGCGGCGCCATTGGATGTACCGGGAGCAGGGGAGCGGCAGGCACCGCTCCAGCGCCGGCGGGCTGCGGCGGCGGGAGGAGGAGCAGGAGGAGCAGGAGCAGGAGCGGGCTCAGGTGCAGGCACCGCTCGCACGGGGGAAGCAGCGCCAGCCGCTCCAGCCGCACCGCGGTGACAGAACTCCCCGGCAGAGGATGCGTGTAGGTGAGAAAGCTTCTCTATTGCTTTAGCGGGGAATTAGAGGAAGGAGTGATTTTTTTTTTTTGTATCGTTGCATTATAGACAAAGGGAGCGAATAGCCGGAAATATTCTGGGATGTTATAAAACCTAAAAGGACTTTACAGCGTGGCGATACAAGACAGGAAATGAACTCCAAAAAGAACGCTTTCTCTCAAAGTACTGCGACAGAATTGAACATTGAGCTCTTCTGGTGTCTGAAATTCCTCCCGAAGACACGGCAAGGACTATCAAAATCAGCCGAGAGATCCCGGTACTTTTAAAGAGACTTAAAGCAAACGCCAGCGTAATATCTGAATGACCTTGGAGATTATTTCGTGTGGATTCATTAATTTTCACTGCCAGTCTTCTAGTCTCAGGAACTCTAGGATTAAAGATGGTTTTAACGTTTTAGGGGCCTTTCAAAAAACAAGATTGTATACATTTAAGTACCTGCCTAATGGTTCCTGAACTAATCAAGCATTTACTTAGAACTGAACACAGAAGATCCTTTCTTTTAACGTTTTCTCTCTCCATAACTGTGACTAAAATGAACAAGGTAATGTCCTGCAATTAGAAGAGCATTTCTTTTAAAGCAACTATTTATTATGCTGATCATCTAATAAATACAGAAACCCTAAACCCCTGAGAAGATGAAGCTGAATAACAGAATAATGGAGTAGTAAACAATGGCAGCTTTTCTAGTCAAATCAGCATTTCATTAGCTTCCCAGCAGAATGCAGATGGAAGTTTCTGAGCTCGTTGTGTGGGGGTTTGTGAAATGATTCAGGTGTTGCTACAGAGGTGAGCAATATCATGGCTATACCTATGAACTCCTGGGTACTGATCCACTGTAGCAGATATGGCAGAGTTTCCAAAGATGATTATTTTAAATTGCTGTTTCTGAAATTAAATTCAAGAGGATTTGTTTTGTCTCTGGGGACATTGAATTATGGTTCTGACATTAATAATTGTAACGGACTATAACTGTTTGAAGGAACTGTGAATATTGACATAAGTCTCCAAATTCTATTCTTAAATTATTTTCATTTTCAAGTGAATAGACACAATCTTCCTCATTGTATGTTAGATGTATGTTTGCTTTCTTAGGAGTCAGAGGACAAGTCTGCCTCATCCCCCACCCATCTCCCTCCAAATAAAATTCATTATTCATACCCAAACAGTGGTGAGTCTATTGGAATTAACCTTGACAAAAATGTTTTCCTTACCTTTCCAATGAATAGCACGGATAAGACGGAATACCATCTCCTGAATGGAACCAGGAAAGACAGCATTAGAGGATGAACTTTTTCCTTTAGTCTCCAGTCAGTCTGTGATTTAAACTGAGACATTGTAAAGATTATCTCCAGTAACTGCTGGTCCAGGAAACCTGAGCTGTACTGAGGTTCCTCCTTCCCTTCCTCCCCCTCTCGCCAGTATATTCCAAAGCAAAGGACTTTCTCAGGAAAATAAGCAGTCAGAGATTTCCCTCCCCTCCTTCCCTGGGAAATGAATGTGTCCCTTTTGTCAGTTTTTATTTCTGTATTTCTGGGTACCTGCTTGTTTTAGAAGTGCCTTGTGTTTGCTAAAGATGGGTCAAGAGCACTGGAGGAGCTGATCAGTGGCCTTTCTCTTTCTGGCTTTTGTTTTTCTTTTCTTTCTTTCTTTCTTTCCTTAAAGCCAAGGTGTGCCAGAGGTGATGCACTGATGCTGAGGAGGCATCAACAGCTATGGGACTGTAATCCCCTCCCATGTAAGCACTGGCAGTGTCTGCAAAGAGAGATCTGGAGTCGCTGGAGCAGAGTTTAGCTGCTGTTCAGCAGGTCACCTGCTCACTCAGGCTCAGATTGCAGTGTTCCCTAAGCACAAAGCATGAACCAGTCCCGATGGATTGAATGGAGGACTCTGAATATGAGCAGTAGTGTTATGAACATATCTGAGCACCTCTCCTGCCCTCTTGGATTTGGTCACTACAATGCAGTTGACGTCTGTATCCTTGAGACAGTCGTTATTGTCTTGCTCACATTTTTAATCATTGCGGGTAACTTAACTGTGATATTTGTTTTCCACTGTGCTCCACTCCTGCATCATTACACCACCAGCTATTTTATTCAGACCATGGCCTATGCTGATCTTTTTGTTGGAGTCAGCTGCTTGGTTCCTACTCTGTCACTGCTCCACTACCCGACAGGTGTCCACGAGTCCCTGACTTGTCAAGTTTTCGGATATATCATCTCTGTGCTCAAAAGCGTGTCTATGGCATGTCTCGCTTGCATCAGTGTGGATCGCTATCTCGCTATAACCAAGCCTCTCTCCTATAACCAACTGGTCACCCCTTGTCGCTTGAGAATCTGCATTAGTTTGATCTGGATCTACTCTTGCCTGATCTTCTTGCCTTCCTTTTTCGGTTGGGGAAAACCTGGTTACCATGGAGATATTTTTGAATGGTGTGCTACCTCCTGGCTAACTAATGCCTATTTCACTGGCTTTATCGTGTGCTTACTCTACGCTCCTGCTGCCTTTGTCATCTGCTTCACCTACTTCCACATCTTTAAGATCTGCCGGCAGCACACCAAAGAGATAAACGATCGCAGAGCTCGCTTTCCGAGCCACGAAGTGGATGCTGCTGGGGACAGCGGGCACAGCCCCGACCGCCGCTATGCCATGGTTTTGTTTCGGATAACCAGCGTGTTCTACGTGCTGTGGCTCCCCTATATCATATACTTCCTGCTGGAGAGCTCGAGGGTGTTGGAGAACCCCGCGCTCTCCTTCCTAACGACGTGGCTTGCTATAAGCAATAGTTTCTGCAACTGTGTGATCTATAGCCTCTCCAACAGCGTTTTCAGGCTGGGACTGCGGAGACTGTCGGAGACAATATGTTCGTCTTGCACGTGTTTGAAAGACAGGGACGTGCGGGACCCTAAGCCGAGGAAACGGGCAAACTCCTGCTCCATTTAGAGACAACGCGGAGTTTCGATAGGATCTGCCGTGTCTGGAAACTGGCCAGAGAGAAATGTTTACTTGAACAGCTTGCCGTGGTGTTAGAGGGAGTTTGAAAGGGATCGTGGAAAAGGAAAAGGCTGCTGTGAGAGGGGTCACTGGACTCTGGGGGAATCGTGAGGGGAGCAGTTCCACAGAGACGATGAAGAAAGTCAGGACTAAAAACCTTCCAAAGGGCATGAAGTAACTACCAGTAACTATCAGAGGAGGTTCCTCATAAAATAAATAACTTAGTTACTACCTTATGTTTTACCCCTTGTAGACAAGCTGTCCTACTATCTTTGTGTCACAATATACTGTAGCCTTCTGAATCTCAATATATTTAAGAGGAAGCAATCAACATCACAGTAAGCAGCTATCCATAAACTATATACCTGAGGACTGTAGTAGATACTGCAGGTTAATAATCAGCTCTGTCTCTGCTCACATCCTGTACAATTTTCAGTTGTACAATGCATAAACCCTGCCCTGGGCATGACGCTTTGGGATTAACCGGCACCTTTTGGTACCACTGTCAGAGGAGCTCTCCCTCTCCTTCTCATTTCCCCTCTTTTCCTCCACGCTCTGCATCCCTAGATTCCATTGCATCCGGGGGGAGTTTAGTTTGGGGGCACCCACGAGGTAAACTGAGTTTCAGACCGTTATTCCTGCAGAAAGCACAAGCCCTTCCTGGCTGGCTGAGCGACTGCAGCTGCCTGTGTCCAAGGACTCCTTCAGTCGATCCCCTTAAATCAGCACACGGTATCCATGTAGTGTCCTTTAGGGTGTACTAAAGCTTTTCCTTATTGGCTCCACAGACACTCCTAACGCAGAGATGATAATGGCACCCAGCAGTGTGTCAGCACTGCTTGGAGAATTCAAACTAACCAGCCCTTCTCTTTGGGAAGTCTAAATTGCTCACTGTTGTAGCTGTCAGTCCATCGTGTGAACCTCGCTTGCACATGCTGTACTTTTTTTATTTTTTTATTTTTAAGGGAAAACGTAAATTGTGGTCTTGTGCCTAATGTTTTCCTAGCACATGGAATAGGTCAATGCTACAGGGTTAAAAAAAACTTACACTCGCTTTAAGAGAAACACTTCTGTGCCGTTGTTGAATAGCTCTTTGTTAGGCAAGTGTTCTCAGAGGAGGTGAACAAGACAGTTTAGTGTTAATTACAGGCCAAGAGCTTCGGTATTTCCTTTTGTACTGAACTGACTTTCAGGTCCACTGATGAAATCTTTCTGATTTTGCGAGGGCGCACGTTAGGTTTGTGTAATAAATTGCCAGGGGTTCAGATGCATGCCAGTCGATACGATATTTAAATTATGATTTTGAGCCAAATGTAATTTTCTTAGATGGTTATTGGCTTTTAAAAAGGGCCCAATTATTGATTATTGGTGCCTTTTAACACTGCACTATTATTCCTTCTTTCACCAAAATGCATATGTAAAGATTGTGCCTATTACTTTTTGTAATGGAAGCTGACCACGTGTGCACACCTGTGGTTTGACTCTAGAGCTCCCTTAATTCTGTACTCTTTGCTCTGTTGAGGTGGTTCTGAACCCCTGTACATTTTTTTTAAACCTGTAAGAAAGTTGAAACAATGGAATAAAGTAGTATTATGTCTATCAAACCCAGCCTTGGCGTTAGTTCCCTGATGTCACCCTCTGTTCTCTGTGAAAATCCTTTTGGGTGAAGGATTTCAAATCCAGACCTCAAAGCTGCTCACCTGCTGTCTAAAACGTTCAGATACCAGTTTCTGGCATTGCACAGTTTTCAAAGCAGGTTCAAACATGACTTCAGACATTCCTCGAGCTGAGCCGAGCTGTCGCTGACAAGCAGCTCTCGTAGATATTAGGGAAAAATAAGTCCTGTCCTTCCCATGGATCTGCTAATGCTCCATGTCTGCAGGAACGTGTCTGCTGCCTTCTTGTGACGAGTTGCTGTTTATTTCAGAAGGCTCTTTTGGGCTGACTGCTGCTCTGTAAGGTTGTGTAACCCCGGCTGTTCTTACAAACACAGCTTGGGGTCACTTGGCTTTGTCATTAGTGTGTCATTGTGTCCTGCTCAGTAGGCCCTCGGTGTGCAAGGCTCAGGTGAGGAGCAGTGAAATACCTCATTTCTCCCCACTCCCAGGGCTGGTTTCCTACCAGGGGAGTCATTTCAGACCTGTGCTCCAGCGCTGGCCGCTTAATGCTTCTGCTTTTCCTTGGCACTTCGGGTGACAGGTTTCAGTGGGACCTTCTGAAATTCAGGAGAAGGTCTAGAAAGTGCCTGAAGTTGCATTAACACTTCCTGAAGCCAGGCTGGGGGCAGCAGGGGCGTGGTGAGCGTGGTGCTGGAACTGCAGACGTGCAGGAGCACCTGAGGTAACTCAGCTGTGGCCGTGCCTTAGTTGAACCCTGTCGGTGTGACCTCAGCAGTGCAGTTGATTTTCGAGCTTTATTGCCTGAAAATGGGAGGTCAGAGAGAGGGTTTGGCCTCCGGGGCTGCAGCAGGAGGTTTGCTCACCCTGGAGGGCAGAGTTAGCAATACATCCCTCTGTACCATGTGGAGTTGTCAGGTGGAACTGGAGATTTCCTTTTCCCTCAGGCAGAGAGTATACTAGAAATCCAATACCCTGCAAACAACTTGTAGGTTCCAAGGTTCTTCACCCCCTTTTTTCATTTTTTTTGGTTGAACGTTGTTGCTGCAAGAACATTAATTCACTTACCTGGACGCTGAATTTCAGCTGCTGTAAAATCACATTTCAAACTGTTCTCTATAAATCTCCTGGCATCTGTCAAATTAGACATCCTCAGCAGACTTAAATATTGCTTTTCTTCTTGCTGTTTCCCAGGTGACAGGATTTGACCTGGTGCTCGGTCACATGAATCTTTTAAATTTAGTAAGCGTGTTTCATTTTTTGGAAGTGCTTTCTGAACTCATGATTTAAAATTTTTACTTGAGGGAGGTTTGTTATTGTTTTACTAATGCTGTCTGGGGGTTCCAGCTGGTGCTAAATTCTCTTCCAAAATCATAAGGCTGGGCGTTTTAGTGGATTAAAGGAGTCTCAGAAATTCCAATCCCCCAATCTGTCATTTTTGATTTACATTCTGTCATTATATGAAGTCTCATGTTTTTGTACGAAAATCTGATTAAAGAATGAGACTTTTAAAGCTGGCATTTGGAGTACACATCCCACTTTCATGTGCCTGAAGATCTTTTTGATTTGTGAAATACCTGGTAAATAGGTGAGCAGAGACTAACTAAAGAAGTTGAGAGGAAAAAAATGTTGTTGATAACAGAGGTGATAAAAAGTAACTGTGAGAAGAAAACATATGTAAAATATTAAATGAAAAAATGAAGAGATAGACCTAATAGTCAAGTAAAATAAATATATATCCAGAAACCTCGTTTTTGCAGGTAGTTTATATTGTGCTCTTGCATTTCTCTTGAACACTTCTGTTTGCAGTGCCCCAGAGGCAATGTCAAGGGTGATTGCCTCACCATTTTTGGAACCTCCTGTCTTTCAGCCTAAGGAAAAGTCCTAAAAATTGTGTGGTGGCAGCAAAAGCACTGCCACAAAAGTAATCTTTCCTTTACCAAATTTGATGTGCTTCCTTATTTTCTGGAATGGCTAAGAGATTTTCTCCTTAAAAATTCTTAAAAATTCTTTAAAGGGAAGAGGAATTGTAGTGATGAAAAGCACGTTGATGTCTTTTAAAAGTTTACTTCTTGTCCTAAAGTAAGATATTTTTCCCCTCGCTTTTGCTTAAGAATCCATTTTGTAGCTGTACTTGGTCAAGCACGAGGTATCATGCAAGGTTTATTTTTGTACTTCCTCTGCTGAAAAGTTGGGAAAAGTTGCTTTACTGAGCCTCCTTTCCCAGGTACAGTTTGGGAAGCCCTTTTAGAAGTATTGGTTTTGTGATTAATTTAAATTCATTGGTGTTTGTCAGTGGAATATCCATAAGCACACTTAGTTTTTGCACTCAGCAAAAGTAGTAAAATGTCCTTTTTTGGGTAAATTACCCCAGGAGTCAATATTCCAGCTGACAGGGAATGAGGAGTTACGTCACTATCGATCCCATCGCGGTGTGGAAGTGCTTTCTCTTCCCGTGCCACAGTTGCAGCTAAACTTGTAAATACACTGAGTTTTTATGTTTTAAAGCTGGCCTTGGACTGCTGAGGATCTACAAGTCCCCAAACCGCTGCTGTTCCCGGGCTGGGAATATCCCTTTACCAGCTCCCCAGCTCCGTTGCTGCATCCCTGGAACACCATGGTCCTGGAGCTGAGTTTGCCAGGGAGCAGTGCCAGAGGTTCAGCAGGCCAGTGTTGCCATGGGGGAGCAGTGTCTGTGAAGGTGGCAGTGGCCTCCCCAACCATCCACCAGGATCAGCTAATTTGCAGATCTTTCAGTTTTATTGTTGAGAAGTTCAAGCCTTTGACTTCATCCCTGCCCCCTGTTCCCTCTGACTCCTCTTTTTTTTATGGGTGCTGTGGTTCATCGTTCTGCTGAAGAACTGAATTAGATTGATTTTGTTGGGCTTTTTTGATGGAAATACTTCATGTATGTCATGTGAATGGCCAAACCAAACACTAATTTGTTAACAAGATGCCGATGAATTTCTACGCCTTTCCAGAAATGGCAGCATGGCTGAGGTAGTGTTTTCCTGTCACCTGCAGCATTGCCTGGAACGTTGCTGAAAGATTTTTGCTAACCAAATGGAGTTCAAGTAATGCCTGATTTCCCCCCCCCCGTTTTACACAGACATGTTTAAATTTTTTTTAAGTTATGTACTGAATTTATATACACGGGTCTCTGCAGTCATTTTTCATTTGTCGACAGAAGTCTTTGCCGTTACAGTTGATGGGGTAAAAGTGATGTAGAAGGGTATTTAAGAGGAGCTTCCTACTTGCAGACACTGATCTACTCTCTGGTGAGCAGGGAGAGGACCCAGGGAATGACCTGGAGCTGTGTCAGGGCAGGGTCAGGTTGGATCTCAGGCAAAGGTTCTTCCCCCAGAGGCTGGTTGGGCACTGCCCAGGCTCCCCAGGGCAGTGGGCACAGCACCAAGGCTGCCAGAGCTCCAGGAGGGTTTGGATGATCCTCAGGGGCACAGGGGGTGACTCTTGGGAATGGTCATTTGCAGGGCTAAGAGTTGGATGGAGGATCCTTGTGGACCCCTTCCGACTTGGCATATTCAGTGATTTTTCCAGTCGTTCTACAGTGCAATGATTCCTTTCCCAATCTGATATCAGGACAATCCTCTGGGCTCCGTGAGCTGTAAGTGCTGAAGGAGTGGGATGGGAATGGAGAGGAAGCTGTTAATGGCTCCGTGCCCCAGCACAGCCCCAAGAAAATACTGAAAACCCCTCACTTCTGCATCCATAGTTTTTGTGGCCTCTTCTTTGTGCAAGGACTCTGAAAGGTAGGATGAATGTAAGGAAACCTTAATGCTTTCAGCTGCACTGACAAGTGGCTAAGAAAAGTGATTTCAGGCAGTAAAATCTTTGGGATTTTATCCCAACCTTATGCTGACTGCTGCCAGGCTTAAACCTTTGGAGCAGGATGTGACAGCAGTGCTGAAGGGTTTTCATTTTAACCACTGTGACATCGGTCTGGACAAAGAAGAGGTGATTGGGAGCAAAAATGAAACTTCTGTAAGTGCAGTGATTACCAGGGAGAAGAGTTTTGCTTCTCCTGAGTGATGTTTATCCTTCCTCAAAGCCCACAGTCTGAAGTTTGCAGCTGGCAGTGTTAGAAAAAGGGCCAGACATCAAGGTTTTGAGAAGGAGAAGCTCAGCTGTGTCAGTGTGGATTATGTGAGGGCACTTCTGTGTCTTGACAGAATTGCTCTTTGTTTCTTATTTTTCTTTAAGCGAAATTAGATGTCTTTTTTTCCCTTCTTCTGGAAGTTATTTGAATAAGCACAAATTCTTCTCGTCATGGAAGAAGTCCATTTGTCCCTTCCAACTCAGCATGTTCTACGATCCTATGAGGTAGTTAAATGAAGGACAGGGTGGTGGTTTGGGCAAGTTTAACAGAGGGTCCTGGGAGAGAACCAAGTATGTTGCTTGTGAAACATGTACTCGGAGTTTCATACAGTTTGGGCAGGAAAGTCTTTAAACACCTATACAGGTGAGAGTTTCCAGTCCTTGTATGATCTCACCGGTGTTATTTATGCTTCTGCAGGTACTATTGACAAGTTCTTGTGTGACATCTAAATTTAGAATTGTAAACGGACAAATCTGCGACCAGGCAAATTTGCTCTGCCCTGGGAAAGGCACTGGCAGAACCTCCTCTTCCCTTGGCTGTTTGGGGTCACCGGCAGCTCAGCACAAACCCATTTTTGGGTACCAGGATGAGGGATGTGCCTGCCCTCTGCTTCAACTCTTTCTCATGGACTTAATCCTTCACAAAGGGGTGAGAGACAGCTGAGGGCAGCAGTGCCTTAAACTGCCTCAGCAAGGGTTTTGCAGAGCTCTGTTTATTAGGGCTTTTAATGGTAAGGAAATTCATTGTCATTAAAGAAAAGAGAGATCTATGTGCTACAAGTAATGAGTTGTTATTGGGTCAAGAACAGATTAGTCTGGTTTTCATCTGTGCCCTCAATAGGCCAATGGAGCCTTCCTAAGAGTTTCACTGCACT